TTGCGTAAATTGTACTATGTACTTCATGGTCGATTACGTCATTAATGATTGTTTTCAAATTCGAGTTGCGCAAGTTTTGATTGCTTACTGCATCGTCGATTACGTAATTCATGAAAGTGTTTTCAATTTAAAATGGCCATGTTCTGATTGCGTTACTCAATATATGATTGCACAAACGTCAAAACGGTGACATCAAAATGAAACATTCAATGTCAAAGGGTATAATTGGGGTCATCGTGTTTGATATAATGACTACATGTCATCCCTTCGATAGCTCAGTTGGTAGAGAGGAGGACTGTAGTGGTTATTTGCTGTTATCCTTAGGTCGCTGGTTCGAATCCGGCTCGAAGGACGTGTCCTGTATTGCGTAAATTGTACTAGTACTTCATAGTCGATTACGTCATTAATGATTGTTTTCAAATTCGAGTTGCGCAAGTTTTGATTGCTTACTGCATCGTCGATTACGTAATTCATGAAAGTGTTTTCAATTTAAAATGGCCATGTTCTGATTGCGTTACTCAATATATGCTTGCACAAACGTCAAAACGGTGACATCAAAATGAGACAATCAATGTCAAAGGGTATAATTGGGGTCATCGTGTTTGATATAATGACTACATGTCATCCCTTTGATAGCTCAGTTGGTAGAGCGGGGGACTGTAGTGGTCATTTGCTGTTATCCTTATGTCGCTGGTTCGAATCCAGCTCGAAGTACGTGTCCTGTTTTGCGTAAATTGTACTAGTACTTCATGGTCGATTACGTCATTAATGATTGTTTTCAAATTGAGAGTTGCGCAAGTTTTGATTGCTTACTGCATCGTCGATTACGTAATTCATGAAAGAGTTTTCAATTTAAAATGGCCATGTTCAGATTGCGTAACTCAATATATGATTGCACAAACGTCAAAACGGTGACATCAAAATGAGACAAAATGACTACATGTCATCCCTTCGATAGCTCAGTTGGTAGAGCGGAGGACTGTAGTGGTCATTTGCTGTTATCCTTAGGTCGCTGGTTCGAATCCGGCTCGAAGGACGTGTCCTGTTTTGCGTAAATTGTACTAGTACTTCATAGTCGATTACGTCATTAATGATTGTTTTCAAATTCGAGTGGCGCAAGTTTTGATTGCATACTGCATCGTCGATTATGTAATTCATGAAAGTGTTTTCAATTTAAAATGGCGCATGTTCTGATTGCGTTACTCAATATATGATTGCACAAACGTCAAAACGGTGACATCATTAATGATTGTTTTCAAATTCGAGTGGCGCAAGTTTTGATTGCGTACTGCATCGTCGATTACGTAATTCATGAAAGTGTTTTCAATTGAAAATGGCGCATGTTCTGATTGCGTTACTCAATATATGATTGCACAAACGTCAAAACGGTGACATCAAAATGAAACATTCAATGTCAAAGGGTATAATTGGGGTCATCGTGTTTGATATAATGACTACATGTCATCCCTTCGATAGCTCAGTTGGTAGAGCGGAGGACTGTAGTGGTTATTTGCTGTTATCCTTAGGTCGCTGGTTCGAATACGGCTCGATGGACGTGTCCTGTATTGCGTAAATTGTACTAGTACTTCATAGTCGATTACGTCATTAATGATTGTTTTCAAATTCGAGTTGCGCAAGTTTTGATTGCTTACTGCATCGTCGATTACGTAATTCATGAAAGTGTTTTCAATTTAAAATGGCCATGTTCTGATTGCGTTACCCAATATATGCTTGCACAAACGTCAAAACGGTGACATCAAAATGAGACAATCAATGTCAAAGGGTATAATTGGGGTCATCGTGTTTGATATAATGACTACATGTCATCCCTTTGATAGCTCAGTTGGTAGAGCGGAGGACTGTAGTGGTCATTTGCTGTTATCCTTATGTCGCTGGTTCGAATCCAGCTCGAAGTACGTGTCCTGTTTTGCGTAAATTGTACTAGTATTTCATGGTCGATTACGTCATTAATGATTGTTTTCAAATTCGAGTTGCGCAAGTTTTGAATGCGTACTGCATCGTCGATTACGTAATTCATGAAAGTGTTTTCAATTTAAAATGGCCATATTCTGATTGCGTTACTCAATATATGATTGCACAAACGTCAAAACGGTGACATCAAAATGAGACATTCAATGTCAAAGGGTATAATTGGGGTCATCATGTTTGATATAATGACTACATGTCATCCCTTCGATAGCTCAGTTGGTAGAGCGGAGGACTGTAGTGGTCATTTGCTGTTATCATTAGGTCGCTGGTTCGAATCCGGCTCGAAGAACGTGTCCTGTTTTGCGTAAATTGTACTAATACTGCGTGGTCGGTTACGACATTAATGAATTGTTTTCAAATTCAAGTGGCGCATGTTTTGATTGCGTACTGCATTGTCGATTACGTAATTCATGAAAGTGTTTTCAATTGACAATGGCGCATGTTTTGATTGCGTTACTCAATATATGATTGCACAAACGTCAAAACGGTGACATCATAATGAGACATTCAATGTCAAAGGGTATAATTGGGGTCATCGTGTTTGATATAATGACTACATGTCATCCCTTCGATAGCTCAGTTGGTAGAGCGGAGGACTGTAGTGGTCATTTGCTGTTATCCTTAGGTCGCTGGTTCAAATCCGGCTCGAAGAACGTGTCCTGTTTTGCGTAAATTGTACTAGTAGTTCATGGTCGATTACGTCATTAATGATTGTTTTCAAATTCGAGTGGCGCAAGTTTTGATTGCGTACTGCATCGTCGATTACGTAATTCATGAAAGTGTTTTCAATTGAAAATGGCGCATGTTCTGATTGCGTTACTCAATATATGATTGCACAAACGTCAAAACGATGACATCATAATGAGACATTAAATGTCAAAGGGCAGAATTGGACTCATCATGTTTGACATAATGACTACATGTCATCCCTTCGATAGCTCAGTTGGTAGAGCGGAGAACTGTGGTGGTCATTTGCTGGTATCCTTAGGTCGCAGGTTCGAATCCGCCTCGAAGGACGTGTCCTGTTTTGCGTAAATTTTACTAGTACTTCATAGTCTATTACGTCATTAATGATTGTTTTCAAATTCGAGTGGCGCAAGTTTTGATTGCGTACTGCATCGTCGATTATGTAATTCATGAAAGTGTTTTCAATTGAAAATGGCGCATGTTCTGATTGCGTTACTCAATATATGTTTGCACAAACGTCAAAACGGTGACATCATAATGAGACATTCAATGTCAAAGGGCAGAATTGGACTCATCATGTTTGACATAATGACTACATGTCATCCTTTCGATAGCTCAGTTGGTAGAGCGGAGGACTGTAGTGGTCATTTGCTGTTATCCTTAGGTCGCTGGTTCGAATCCGTCTCGAAGGACGTTTCCTGTTTTGCGTAAATTGTACTAGTACTTCACAGTCGATTACGTCATTAATGATTGTTTTCAAATTCGAGTGGCGCAAGTTTTGATTGCATACTGCATCGTCGATTATGTAATTCATGAAAGTGTTTTCAATTTAAAATGGCGCATGTTCTGATTGCGTTACTCAATATATGATTACACAAACGTCAAAACGGTGACATCATTAATGATTGTTTTCAAATTCGAGTGGCGCAAGTTTTGATTGCGTACTGCATCGTCGATTACGTAATTCATGAAAATGTTTTCAATTGAAAATGGCGCATGTTCTGATTGCGTTACTCAATATATGATTGCACAAACGTCAAAACGGTGACATCATAATGAGACATTCAATGTCAAAGGGCAGAATTGGACTCATCATGTTTGCCATACTGACTATATGTCATCCCTTCGATAGCTCAGTTGGTAGAGCGGAGGACTGTAGTGGTCATTTGCTGTTATCCTTAGGTCGCTGGTTCGAATCCGGCTCGAAAGACGTGTTCTGTTTTGCGTAAATTGTACTAGTACTTCATGGTCGATTACGTCATTAATGATTGTTTTCAAATTCGAGTTGCGCAAGTTTTGATTGCTTACTGCATCGTCGATTACGTAATTCATGAAAGTGTTTTCAATTTAAAAATGGCCATGTTCTGATTGCGTAACTCAATATATGATTGCACAAACGTCAAAACGGTGACATCAAAATGAGACAAAATGACTACATGTCATCCCTTCGATAGCTCAGTTGGTAGAGCGGAGGACTGTAGTGGTCATTTGCTGTTATCCTTAGGTCGCTGGTTCGAATCCGGCTCGAAGGACGTGTCCTGTTTTGCGTAAATTGTACTAGTACTTCATAGTCGATTACGTCATTAATGATTGTTTTCAAATTCGAGTGGCGCAAGTTTTGATTGCATACTGCATCGTCGATTATGTAATTCATGAAAGTGTTTTCAATTTAAAATGGCGCATGTTCTGATTGCGTTACTCAATATATGATTGCACAAACGTCAAAACGGTGACATCATTAATGATTGTTTTCAAATTCGAGTGGCGCAAGTTTTGATTGCGTACTGCATCGTCGATTACGTAATTCATGAAAGTGTTTTCAATTGAAAATGGCGCATGTTCTGATTGCGTTACTCAATATATGATTGCACAAACGTCAAAACGGTGACATCATAATGAGACATTCAATGTCAAAGGGTATAATTGGGGTCATCGTGTTTGATATAATGACTACATGTCATCCCTTCGATAGCTCAGTTGGTAGAGCGGAGGACTGTAGTGGTCATTTGCTGTTATCCTTATGTCGCTGGTTCGAATCCGGCTCGAAGGACGTGTCCTGTTTTGCGTAAATTGTACTAGTACTTCGTGGTCGATTACGTCATTAATGATTGTTTTCAAATTCGAGTTGCGCAACATTTGATTGCCCACTGCATCGTCGATTACGTAATTCATGAAAGTGTTTTCAATTTAAAATGGCCATGTTCTGATTGCGTTACTCAATATATGATTGCACAAACGTCAAAACGGTGACATCAAAATGAGACATTCAATGTGAAAGGGTATAATTGGGGTCATCCTGTTTGATATAATGACTACATGTCATCCCTTCGATAGCTCAGTTGGTAGAGCGGAGGACTGTAGTGGTCATTTGCTGTTATCCTTAGGTCGCGTGGTTCGAATCCGGCTTGAAGGACGTGACCTGTTTTGCGTAAATTGTACTAGTACTGCATGGTCGGTTACGTCATTAATGATTGTTTTCAAATTCGAGTTGCGCAACATTTGATTGCCCACTGCATCGTCGATTACGTAATTCATGAAAGTGTTTTCAATTTAAAATGGCCATGTTCTGATTGCGTTACTCAATATATGCTTGCACAAACGTCAAAACGATGACATCAAAATGAGACAATCAATGTCAAAGGGTATAATTGGGGTCATCGTGTTTGATATAATGACTACATGTCATCCCTTTGATAGCTCAGTTGGTAGAGCGGAGGACTGTAGTGGTCATTTGCTGTTATCCTTATGTCGCTGGTTCGAATCCAGCTCGAAGTACGTGTCCTGTTTTGCGTAAATTGTACTAGTACTTCATGGTCGATTACGTCATTAATGATTGTTTTCAAATTCGAGTTGCGCAAGTTTTGATTGCTTAATGCATCGTCGATTACGTAATTCATGAAAGAGTTTTCAATTTAAAATGGCCATGTTCTGATTGCGTAACTCAATATATGATTGCACAAACGTCAAAACGGTGACATCAAAATGAGACAAAATGACTACATGTCATCCCTTCGATAGCTCAGTTGGTAGAGCGGAGGACTGTAGTGGTCATTTGCTGTTATCCTTAGGTCGCTGGTTCGAATCCGGCTCGAAGGACGTGTCCTGTTTTGCGTAAATTGTACTAGTACTTCATAGTCGATTACGTCATTAATGATTGTTTTCAAATTCGAGTGGCGCAAGTTTTGATTGCATACTGCATCGTCGATTATGTAATTCATGAAAGTGTTTTCAATTTAAAATGGCGCATGTTCTGATTGCGTTACTCAATATATGATTGCACAAACGTCAAAACGGTGACATCATTAATGATTGTTTTCAAATTCGAGTGGCGCAAGTTTTGATTGCGTACTGCATCGTCGATTACGTAATTCATGAAAGTGTTTTCAATTGAAAATGGCGCATGTTCTGATTGCGTTACTCAATATATGATTGCACAAACGTCAAAACGGTGACATCATAATGAGACATTCAATGTCAAAGGGTATAATTGGGGTCATCGTGTTTGATATAATGACTACATGTCATCCCTTCGATAGCTCAGTTGGTAGAGCGGAGGACTGTAGTGGTCATTTGCTGTTATCCTTATGTCGCTGGTTCGAATCCGGCTTGAAAGACGTGTCCTGTTTTGCGTAAATTGTACTAGTACTTCACGGTCGATTACGTCATTAATGATTGTTTTTCAAATTCAAGTGGCGCAAGTTTTGATTGCTTACTGCATCGTCGATTACGTAATTCATGAAAGTGTTTTCAATTGAAAATGGCGCATGTTCTGATTGCGTTACTCAATATATGATTGCACAAACGTCAAAACGGTGACATAAAAATGAGACATTCAATGTCAAAGGGCAGAATTGGGGTCATCGTGTTTGATATAATGACTTAATGTCATACCTTCGATAGCTCAGTTGGTAGAGCGGAGGACTGTAGTGGTCATTTGCTGTTATCCTTAATTCGCTGGTTCGAATCCGGCTCGAAGGACGTGTCCTGTTTTGCGTAAATTGTACTAATACTTCATGGTCGATTACGTCAATAATGAATTGTTTTCAAATTCGAGTTTCGCAAGTTTTGATTGCGTACTGCATCGTCGATTACGTAATTCATGAAAGTGTTTTCAATTTAAAATGGCGCATGTTCTGATTGCGTTACTCAATATATGATTGCACAAACGTCAAAACGGTGACATCATAATGAGACATTCAATGTCAAAGGGCAGAATTGGACTCATCATGTTTGACATAATGACTACATGTCATCCCTTCGATAGCTCAGTTGGTAGAGCGGAGGACTGTAGTGGTCATTTGCTGTTATCCTTAGCTCGCTGTTTCGAACCCGGCTCGAAGCACGTGTCCTGTTTTGCGTAAATTGTACTAGTACTTCATGGTCGATTACGTCATTAATGATTGTTTTCAAATTCGAGTGGCGCAAGTTTTGAATGCGTACGGCATCGTCGATTACGTAATTCATGAAAGTGTTTTCAATTGAAAATGGCGCATGTTCTGATTGCGTTACTCAATATATGATTGCACAAACGTCAAAACGGTGACATCAAAATGAGACATTCAATGTCAAAGGGTATAATTGGGGTCATCGTGTTTGATATAATGACTACATGTCATCCCTTCGATAGCTCAGTTGTTAGAGCGGAGGACTGTAGTGGTCATTTGCTGTTATCCTTAGGTCGCTGGTTCGAATCCGGCTCGACGAACGTGTCCTGTTTTGCGTAAATTGTACTAGTACTTCATGGTCGATTACGTCATTAATGATTGTTTTCAAATTCGAGTGGCGCAAGTTTTGATTGCGTACTGCATCGTCGATTACGTAATTCATGAAAGTGTTTTCAATTGAAAATGGTGCATGTTCTGATTGCGTTACTCAATATATGATTGCACAAACGTCAAAACGGTGACATCATAATGAGACATTAAATGTCAAAGGGCAGAATTGGACTCATCATGTTTGACATAATGACTACATGTCATCCCTTCGATAGCTCAGTTGGTAGAGCGGAGGACTGTAGTGGTCATTTGCTGTTATCCTTAGGTCGCTGGTTCGAATCCGGCTCGAAGAACGTGTCCTGTTTTGCGTAAATTGTACTAGTACTTCATGGTCGATTACGTCATTAATGATTGTTTTCAAATTCGAGTTGCGCAAGTTTTTGATTGCTTACTGCATCGTCGATTACGTAATTCATGAAAGTGTTTTCGATTTAAAATGGCCATGGTCTGATTGCGTTACTCAATATTATGATGCACAAACGTCAAAACGGTGACATCAAAATGAGACATTCAATGTCAAAGGGTATAATTGGGGTCATCGTGTTTGATATAATGACTACATGTCATCCCTTCGATAGCTCAGTTGGTAAAGCGGAGGACTGTAGTGGTCATTTGCTGTTATCCTTAGGTCGCTGGTTCGAATCCGGCTCGAAGGACGTGTCCTGTTTTACGTAAATTGTACTAGTACTTCATGGTCGATTACGTCATTAATGATTGTTTTCAAATTCGAGTGGCGCAAGTTTTGATTGCGTACTGCATCGTCGATTACGTAATTCATGAAAGTGTTTTCAATTGAAAATGGCGCATGTTCTGATTGCCTTACTCAATATATGATTGCACAAACGTCAAAACGGTGACATCATAATGAGACATTAAATGTCAAAGGGCAGAATTGGACTCATCATGTTTGACATAATGACTACATGTCATCCTTTCGATAGCTCAGTTGGTAGAGCGGAGGACTGTAGTGGTCATTTGCTGTTATCCTTAGGTCGCTGGTTCGAATCCGGCTCGAAGGACTTGTCCTGTTTTGCGTAAATTGTACCAGTACTTCATAGTCGATTACGTCATTAATGATTGTTTTCAAATTCGAGTGGCGCAAGTTTTGATTGCGTACTGCATCCTCGATTACGTAATTCATGAAAGTGTTTTCAATTGAAAATGGCGCATGTTCTGATTGCGTTACTCAATATATGATTGCACAAACGTCAAAACGGTGACATCATAATGAGACATTCAATGTCAAAGGGCAGAATTGGACTCATCATGTTTGACTTAATGACTACATGTCATCCCTTCGATAGCTCAGTTGGTAGAGCGGGGGACTGTAGTGGTCATTTGCTGTTATCCTTATGTCGCTGGTTCAAATCCGGCTCGAAGGACGTGTCCTGTTTTGCGTAAATTGTACTAGTAGTTCATGGTCGATTACGTCATTAATGATTGTTTTCAAATTCGAGTGGCGCAAGTTTTGATTGCGTACTGCATCGTCGATTACGTAATTCATGAAAGTGTTTTCAATTGAAAATGGCGCATGTTCTGATTGCGTTACTCAATATATGATTGCACAAACGTCAAAACGGTGACATCATAATGAGACATTAAATGTCAAAGGGCAGAATTGAACTCATCATGTTTGACATAATGACTACATGTCATCCCTTCGATAGCTCAGTTGGTAGAGCGGAGGACTGTAGTGGTCATTTGCTGTTATCCTTAGGTCGCTGGTTCGAATCCGGCTCGAATGACGTGTCCTGTTTTGCGTAAATTGTACTAGTACTTCATAGTCGATTACATCATTAATGATTGTTTTCAAATTCGAGTGGCGCAAGTTTTGATTGCGTACTGCATCGTCGATTACGTAATTCATGAAAGTGTTTTCAATTGAAAATGGCGCATGTTCTGATTGCGTTACTCAATATATGATTGCACAAACGTCAAAACGGTGACATCATAATGAGACATTCAATGTCAAAGGGCAGAATTGGACTCATCATGTTTGACATAATGACTACATGTCATCCCTTCGATAGCTCAGTTGGTAGAGCGGAGGACTGTAGTGGTCATTTGCTGTTATCCTTAGGTCGCTGGTTCGAATCCGGCTCGAAGGACGTGTCCTGTTTTGCGTAAATTGTACTAGTACTTCGTGGTCGATTACGTCATTAATGATTGTTTTCAAATTCGAGTTGCGCAACATTTGATTGCCCACTGCATCGTCGATTACGTAATTCATGAAAGTGTTTTCAATTTAAAATGGCCATGTTCTGATTGCGTTACTCAATATATGATTGCACAAACGTCAAAACGGTGACATCAAAATGAGACATTCAATGTCAAAGGGTATAATTGGGGTCATCCTGTTTGATATAATGACTACATGTCATCCCTTCGATAGCTCAGTTGGTAGAGCGGAGGACTGTAGTGGTCATTTGCTGTTATCCTTAGGTCGCTGGTTCGAATCCGGCTTGAAGGACGTGTCCTGTTTTGCGTAAATTGTACTAGTACTTCACGGTCGATTACGTCATTAATGATTGTTTTCAAATTCGAGTTGCGCAACGTTTGATTGCCCACTGCATCGTCGATTACGTAACTCATGTAAGTGTTTTCAATTTAAAAATGGCGCATGTTCTGATTGCGTTAC